CGGCTTATACCCAAAGGACTTAAAATCAGCATACTACAGTAATATATCCACGTCARTGTTTATAGCAGCTCAATTCACAATAGCCAAACTTTGGAACCAAACTAATGTCTTTCAATAGATGAATGGATAAAGAAAATGTGGTATATATATTCAATGGAATATTACTCAGCTTTAGAGGAGAATGGAATTATGGCATTTGCCAGTAAATGGATGGAGTTGGAGACTATCATGCTAAGTGAAATAAGCCAATCCCAAAAAACCAAAGGCCGAATGTCTTCTCCAATATGCAGATRCTAATACACAACAAGGGGGACGGGGCACTAGAGAAGAATAGAGTTACCTTAGATTAGGTAGAGGGAAGTGAAGGGAGGGGAGGGGAGAGGATGTGGGGATAGGAAAGGTAGTAGAATGAAACAGACATTATTACTGTATGTAATTATGTGACTACATGACCAATGTGATTCCACTACATGTACACTCAGAAAAATGAGAAATTATATCCCATCTCTGTATGATATATCAAAGTGCATAAATGCATTCTACTGTCATGTATAACTAATTAAGACAAATTAAAAAAATAAAAAAAAAAGAATGAAGATGGCAAACCACTTATCCCTACTGATAAACTCTGCTTGCAGCAGGCAAGGAACCAGGAAAAAAATCAGTCTGGGCATTGGTATAGCTCCTCCTCTAAATGTATCCACTTTTGAATCTCAGAATCATSTAACCCTATCAGAGAGCTGTGCAGCCTTGAGTTAGTCATTTAACCTCTCTGAGCTCCTTGCCTCATCAAAGGGATTAATTCCTGCCCCCATAGGATTATAGTAAGGATTAAATCAGGTGTAATGTTCATAGAAAACCACTCAAGAAATGGCWTGTTGAGGATCAGCTGAAATTTCTCTCCATGTAACAGAGATCCTGAATAGCAGTGTCTTAGAGTTATGATGTAAGCTTCCCAGGCTAGGTGGTCTTCAGGTAGGACTTCCTAATACCTTCAATGGCTGCATATGCTGGGGCTCTTTAGTCAGATACCTGCAGAAAGTGTGTCTGTTTGGGGGCGATCAAGAACACAAATCAGTAGGCAGGCTTTGATAAAAGAAAAGCTCACTTTCGGTCCACTGAGGTCACCCCCGAGCTGTCCTGAGYACTGCTCAGCTGTTTCCCCACCAGCCCAACCAGGAAAGGCCTGAAGGCATCAGACTATCAGACTRWCAGACAGCTGGAGCTGGCAGGCACCTCTGAAAAGAAYCCAGGCCTCGGTTGCTGTTTGGCAGCAGCTGGGGGACTTCTGTAGGAGGAGAGCAGGGGCGGGTAGCCTGGCCAGAAGGCGGARTGAGCTCACCTGGTTCTGACCACAGCATCTGTGTTCAGAAAGCAAGCATGTTACTGTCCTTCAGGATGACCGCGGAAGGTCTTGTGGGGTAGGTGGAGGGCCAGGTCGCTGTTGGAGATTCTGGGCTGAGGGTCAAGTTCCTCTCTAGGTCATCCTCTGGCCTTGCCTCCATTCTGTTACCTGACAGCTACAGGACCCTGGGCAGACCACTTGGCTCTGGCCCTAGTTTCAACTCGTTAAAATAGTCTCTCCCTCTTGAGATGGTTGCAAAGGGCAAATTAAATGATGCGTGTAGAGTATCTGGCAGGCAGCAGGTTGCTAATGAAGCAGGGTGACATGGCTGCTGCTCACTGTCAGCGCCAGCATTGGGACAGGTATCACTATTAAGAAACAGACCAAGAGAGAAAACCGACCCCGGAGCCTCAGGTATCATTCAGCCTGCAGCAGGGTGGAGCGCTTTGCGCATGCGCATCAGATACCCCCAGCCCCGCCCACCCTGAGGTTGGCTCCAGCGGTTTCTTTTGGCAGCTTTGATGTCGCCGGCAAGCACCATCCCTACCCCTCCTGGGGCACACTGGCTCTTTTTCAGTTTCCTCTTCTGGCTTGGGCTGCAGCCCCCTCTGGGGGCTGAGAAAGCAGACGGCGACACGGCCACTCATTTGGTGTCTTTATTTATACTGGTCACCACTTCCCATGGGGAACTGTTGAAAGGGGAGGCAGAGGGGCGGAGCGGGAAGCCAAGGCTGGGTTGGCCTCCATCCAGTGGAGGCTGCGGGTGGGGAGGGCTGACCTGAATGGGCCAGCAGCGCTGGGTGGGCTGGCATGTGTCACTCAGTGACTTCAGACCACCTGAGCCCTTGTRTCCGGGAATGCCATAAGGTGGAAATAAAAAATCACAAGAACAAAGTGCACACAAAGCAAACTGCTGATGTAGGGAAGGTTCGAAGGCAGCCGGCAGTGAGAAGCCAGGTGTCTAGGGTGGCCACCTGGCCACATCCCTACCCCCACGGCCCCATGCCAGGCTGTCAGGCCGCCAGTGCCCTCTGAAGACAGTCTCTGTTGGATCTGAGGCTGCTGGGAGCCACAGACGTTTGTGGGGGGAGAAGAGCCCAAAGTGAGGCAGCACCAGGTCAGCCCAAGGCAAGGCTGCATGGACAGTATCAGGGCATCTCTCTGGGGGGGCTCTGAGGGGTGTGAGACTCCAGGGAAGGGACACTGGGAGGGGTACAATCCAGCACCTTTCTTTGGGCAAGGATGAAGGCTCTCTCTGGACTCTTAAATTACCAGGTGAGGATGAGAATGCTGATTAGCCACAGAGCTGAGGGCCTGGGCACAGGCCCCTCGGTCCCTCCCTGGTGCTCGGCCCCGTGTGTGGAAGGGACCCCCAGGAAGGGYCTGCGGAGCCTGAGCAGCTCAGCAGCCCAGCCAGTCGGATTTGATGCTTCCAACCTTCACGCTCTTCAGACTTTGGTTCTCCAGCTTCAGGTAATAAGCACCCTTGAAGAAATAGCTGTGACCTGGGACAGAGAGGGAAAAGAGACTGTGACCACCCATCCTGAAATTCTGGCACTCCCAGAGGATCCCTGGGAACTGGAATGTCTGCCTGGCACAGGGAAGAAGGCTTTGAGCCAGAGAAAACCCTTCTGGGGCCGAAGGAAGGGAAATGCCTATGGGAGTAAGGTCTATGATGGGGACAGAGACACCAACCTCTTAGAGCTTGAGATGGATCAAATTAGATAATATGCTGTTAGGAATAGTGTGAGAACTCCCCTTGGCACAAGCATCCAACCAAGCACTTTCCTACACCCGAAGARGGCAACCAGGAAGCGTCCAGCCCTCCCAGGCCCACAGATGGCTTTTATTCGGCTCACACGAGCTTCTTTGTTTTTATCTTTCATTCTGAGTAAGTTGCCAAYATGTAAACATCTGGAAATGTCACAGGAATATAGACTTCTGGCTTCTTTCTAAAATAACTAGAATATCTAAGAACAYGAGATCTCAATCTGTGCAGGCTGACCACTGTCAGAAGCTGCAAAGCAACTGGGCCCTCCTGCACACTCGCTGGTTCACTACAGACCTCACTKCTCCCTACTGTCTCTGCCTCCTCATCTCACCTGTGCTGTGTGGCCCATCCAGGCTTCAGAATCTGTCAACTCCCTCTCAGATATATGATCCTACTTACTTTGTTTCAAACTCTAGCACACAGTAGGTGCTCAACAGATGTTCAGTTGAAGATAATCCTTAGCCTCACACCTGACCGCACATTTAGCCTTGCACCTGATGGTACAGTCCTTCGACTTGCTCACGTAGGACCTCTGGYCCCTGGAGTTCAGAGCTCTGTGCTGAGCATATAGTAGGGACTCCAAAGGATCTTGAGGAATTGAGTGGAAATTCCTCTCCAAAGCCAACTGGAACTCATTTCCAGGGCCCTAGAGAGCTCACAGGGAGCYTTCTCAGGATCCAGCTTTCAATTCTCAGTTCTGTCCCTTGCTGATGATGCTGGTTCTATCTGGCTCAGCAAAGGAACGAACAGAGAGCCTGGCAGAGTTGGCCTTGTCCCCAGTGGAGCGCCCTTCTGCTGATGGGAGGCAATCGCAGGCCTCTTGCAAAACCCCAAAGGGCCTGGGCCAAGCCCCAGAATGAATCCAGGGCACCAGGCCATGTTGCTGGYCCCCTCAGGCCTCTCCCCCTGCCCCCACCCTGGCTGGAGGCCCTGCAGCTGTGTGAGGGGCCTTTTTAGGTCTCACTGCCTGGAGCCTGGCTGGGGGAACAGAGGTCAGGGGTCTGGACGCCTTCCCAGCACTGGGCTGAAGGGGCTGGTTTGTTTCCTGGGGCCCAGCATGCCGGCCCTGCACAATGAAGGAGTGTGTGCTGGAGCGGAATGGGGGCCCCCCCGGCTGGGGGTGGGGAGTCCTCGAAAGCGGACAGAGGCCTGGGGAGCTCACCACCGCCCTGCAGGTCCACAACGGCGTCCAGGTTGTCCGAGATGGCGTTCCAAGCATCGGCGATGAGCTTGGGAAAGCCGGGATCCATTTTCTTCTTTACCTCATTGTATCTGTCAGGAAAGAGAACGAGAYCCGGTGGACCAGTAGGCCTCTCTGAAGGCCACTCCCCGAGATCTGAAAGGGAGAGAGGACCCAGAGGATGGCTCCTGACGGGGCCTGGGAAACCCTGCYTGGCCCTTCCAAGAGGCACCCAGAAAGAGGGCAAGTGCCAAGATCTGAAGTCCAACACCACCACTCGCTAAGGACATAAAAACAATCTTGTGATCGCTGCCACACAGGCCTGCAAAGTGTCTGCCTGTCCCTGAGCCTCGGACTTGGTAGGTGTCTGGGAAATGTTAGTCCCTTACAAATCCCTGCAGCAGTCTGAGGAGCACTGGCCCGGGGCCCATGGAAGGGGACCCGCCCCATCATCCTGTCACTATGTRGTTTGAACAAATTGCCGCTGCCTCATCTGCCAGGTGGTGATGACAACCCATGTCCTGGGAGACAACAGTGGCCGGGAGAGAGGGTGAGGCTACAATGCAAGGTGGCTAGGCCTGTTAGTCACAGGGCGGACCGCATGCCACCTCCGTCCCACCTGCAGCTGTCGGTGCGTACTTACTCAGGGCCCCGCCTTTAATTCAGGTAAATACCTGGAGCCTTAGCTGGCTGGCTCTTCTCCCTGATTCTGTCTTTTTAAATTTTTTGGAAAACTTTTTAGATGTTGCGGTCATTTTGACTTCTTTGTTTCTCCACCCTCTCTCAATCTGTTCATTACACTCTAAATATTTAACTAGCTCCCACTCTAGGCCTGTGGGTATCTCAGTCAACAAGGTCAAGTTGTCTCTCAAGGAGAAAATCTTCTAGACTCCTCTGTGTTTGAGTCCCATCCTGGAGGGAGCCACGCTGTCCTCTGTGGAGCTCTGAGTCAGTTCCTCTCTTCTCATGGCCAGCTCCCCTGGGGTCCCAACTTCTCCTCTCGATCGCTCCCTACGACAGGGCCCATCCCCCTCAGCCCACCACCCTAGAACTGCCAGCATTCCAGCCCCATCATGGACCTTCCCTCTTGCAAGACCTACTTCTTCACGACTTGGGTTACCAAAACCAAGCTCCCTAGCTCAAATCCCAGCACTCCCCGCTGCCACCCCTCCAGGGACCCCTCCAGTGACATCGCCAGGGGTTATGATGGCTCCAAGGCGTRTGGCCCATGCTTGAACTTGCCCTCATTTCTCTCATTCTTCCCCAGCAAACGGGAAGAGCAGGAGTCGACCCCACTGTATAGATGAGGAAACCGAGGCTGAGAGAAGTGAACCCATTTCTTCTCCTCCAGGAAGAACACAGTGGGATGGCCTGCCATGTTGGCTTGGAAGGGGACTCTGTGTCTTCCCTTTTCCCCTCTGCGCCTGCCATCTTGAACAGTGCTGCTCATGGGCTGGCACCCTGCCTGGAGAGGTTTCACGGGTGGTCCTCCTCTGCAGCGTAGAGCAGGTATGAGGATATTTGTGTTCCAGCTTCCTAACCTGTGCGTCTTCGACCTTCTTGAGCGTCGTAAGCGTGGGGCTGAAAATTGCGCTTACCTAAAATGAGAAATGCGGGTGCCATGCCCAGCTTCAGGCCAGGGCTGGGCACTAGCCCATAAGGACGGACACCATCATTTGCCTCCAGTGTATTCCAGTCACTTTCACTCTGTTGTAAGCTCCGCGAGGACAGGAGGTGAATATTCCCTGAACACTGCCTCCCGGCACCTCACTAAGTGCCTGGCACATAGAAGAGGTTGCATATATATCTGTGGGCTCAGARGAAGCTTCACAGTATTCTGGAAGCTGCTTCTCACCTTCCATCACTCAGGGGATCTCTTTCCGTCTCCAGTAAGTTCTGCCTCTGCAATCTCAAGCTCATCAATGACCTCTTCTGGGAGAGATGTGTCCTTTGGAAGCCCAGCCCAGGGCCTCTGAGCAGCCCTTGGGCTCCATCCCTTCCACAGAGAGCTCAGGGAGCTACCTGGGTGGTGCCGGTGGTCCACCTTGGCCCCTGGCTTTAGGAGGAGGTGGGTTTGATATGGAGAAGGCCTGGGAGGCAKATAACTTTGCCTGGAAACCCAGCCGGGCACTGCCACAGCCTGTGAGTCWGTGTGTGTGCATGCACACTCTCGCTCACATGGGAACACATCTSTTCTCGTGTGTGTCTCCACGAGGGGTGACTGTGAAAGTCCTTCCAACACTTGCCAGGAAGACTGCAGGGCTTCCCGATTCCAAGATTCCTGTTTGTGTGATCCTGTGCCTCTCGCCATCCAGTTCTCAGATCTGAGACGCGGAGCACCTGTGCAGCTGGGATGCCACTCATAGCAGCAGGTGGGTGTGGCTGGGAGTGTCCCAGGGCCTGTGGGCGGAAGGCCCACTCTGTGGCTTCCTGGCTGACTGTTTTCCTTTTGAGGCCTGAGATATCAATCAGCTTAGGTCGCTAAGTGTCTTAGCATTCCACCCGGACGCTGGCAGGCTGGGGACATAAGCAGCTTTTAAATCAGGGCAGCTGGGGCAGGGAAGGGGGCCTTGGAGGAAGCAGGATTGTTTGGGGGTTGGCAGATAACATGTCCCTCTGAGGAGCTCCTGGGTAGGAGCCAGATGTAGTGACAGCCACAGAAGAATGGGCCACTAGGGGGGACAGGATGGAAAGTCACCCCCATAACCTTCATGCACCAGTCTGGCCTTCCTAAATGACCAAATGAACCAGAAGTCACAGCGGAGAAAGCAAGGGGAGGGCAGAGAGTAGAAGCCGCCACCCTGGCTCTGTCCTGGTGTATCCATGGAGAAGCAACTTCCAGCTTATTTCTTTGGGCCTCAGTTGTTAAGTGTCAACAATTGTCATCAAACTCCTAAGACCTGGGCTGCCTCTTGCCAACCAGTCCTGGGCATGGGGATGTCCAGCTCCTTAGTCCTGATAGTGGCCTCTCAGAACTGGACCCTTCTCTTCAAATGACCTGGAGCAGAGACAGAGCCACCTGCCTCCAAACTGTTCCCCTGCCAGTCGGCTCCCACAGCCACTGGGCCCAGGGTGGACACTCCAGAGAGTTCCTGCTGCTTCTGCAGGTTCCACTGTGGATCCTGGCTCCTGTGAGCGGCAGCTGCCTTTGCATGTCCCCTCTGCCACCCCTGTACTCTTGTGCCCACCTCTTGAGACTCCACTACATCAGGGGCAATGTAGACGAACTAGTATGGTCTCTGGGAGAGCCAGGGTTCGAAGCTTCACCTGTCACCACATGGCAATGGGACTTTAAGCTAGGTGTTTAGCCTTTCTGCAAAATTTCCTCATCTGCAAAATGGGAATAATATCAATCAGTGTCCCCCAGAGCCCCTAGAACAGTGTGGGGCACACAGTGTTGACAGGAGCAGCTGTTGTCTTCATTTTATTCCCTCCTTCAGTGAGTCATCCGAAGAGACGGGCTCCAGACTAGACTCGAACCCAAGTAGAAGGCAGCTACGAAGGCCAGGAGACTCTGACCAGCGTCATGCCAACCATGTGCACAAGGATGCTTCACTCCTTGGTGACTTCTAAGAAGGGATGCAGCCCTGGCAGGTCAGAGGCCAGAGAGGGGCATTCACGGCCCACTGACCTCTGAACTTGACCCGGAGGCATCGAGCCACAGTGTCTTCTCCCACGCAGTCAGCTGCACTKCTCCCCTACCCACAGCCTCCCTTACCTCCAGAATTTGTCTCCAGCAAAGATGTAAGTCTTCTTGTTCTTGCTCCAGTTGAAGGCGGCGTCCACTTTCTGCACATCAGGGGGCAATCCCAGGCTGGTCAGCGGCTTGGGGTAGCCTCGCTCCAGGGTGCTGGCAGAATAGACCCAGTACTCATTCCCTGGGGTGGAAGAGAGGGTACGTTGGTGGCTGGTGCCAAGTCCCCCAGGCCAGGCTGTCCCTCCCATCATCTGTCTGGCACGGGACCCCACGACAGCCATTTTCAGTGGGGGACAGCTTCTTGCTCACATAGGGGTTCAGCGCTGAAATTGGGCCCCACACACAGGGTTTTTGTAAGTCAATCACACAATAGAGAAAGTGTCAGGCTGAAAAGGTCAGTGTGAGTCGGTGGGCGAGATGGAGCCCACMGAGTGTCATGCCTGCCACAAAAAGGCACATGCCCTGACGGCCAGCAGCTGCCCTGCTCAGGACCCAGGGTTGCCGTGGATGGAGAGRGGAGTTGGCTGGGGGGAGAGAACAGCAACACATGGTCTTGGTGAGCCTCCCACACTCTAAAAAGCCTTTGCTGAGCCCCACCTCGGGCCAAAGCAGGGMCCCATTTGGTGGCCCCATCAGAGCCCGAACCTTATCCCCTGCTAGCAGCCTGGGGATCTGTYTCCCTGAGCAAAAAGGCAGAAGCTGCATTCCCAGAGCCCAGCAAAACCCAGGACATAGTACATGCTCAAATAAATATTGTAGGAACCAGGCTYCCCACACTTCAGCCGTGTGCACCGACCTGGAAGATTTTTCTACTTTCAGAGACTCCCTCATGCTGCTGTTTACTTATAATTTTTGCTTTCAGTGAATTCCACTGGAAATCTTTAAAAAYAAATTTCTTTCAAGAACTTTAGGGGACTGCCTCAATGCCAGGTATCCAATATTCTATTCCTATACTAACTACTTCTGTTTAAAAAAACAAACAACAACAACAACAAAAATGTGTAAGCTAAAAACGAAAACCAGCAGTTTCTAAAAATTCGAACTCAAGCACCCGCCTGCCAAAGGCTCAAAGAAAGATGTGAGAGAGACACACGGGCTCTAAAATGAGATTTCTTCCYTCTTGAAAAGGAAGCAGAAAGATTGAAAGATAATTCAAGGGAAAGGAGATGTTTCTATGGGGGTGAAGCTCTTTGGTGTCAGGTGACCGATGAATCCCACGCTCTGGGAAGCGTGGCTGAAAGAAGGAGCAGAGGCACACGCAGGCGCCCGGGGACTGWGGTCTGGGCAGAGGAGAGGGCCTGGGCCATCCCACACACCTGCGAAGAACACGGCCTTCTCYTCCTGCGGGGCCTCGTACACAGCGTCGATCTTTTCCGGGAGCTCAGGCCAGAAGGTGGCCACCAGCAGGGGCCCCATGGGCTTGTCACGTGGATTCACTGTCCGCCAGATGAACCTGGGGACAGGAAGAGGACACATCTTAGGAAACCACACCTCCAGTCACCCAGGAGCAGCTCTGGCCACATGGGCCTCCCCTGGCCCACCAGAAGCACCCCAGCAATGCTCCTATGATGCGACAGGGAGACAAGGTCAAAGGCAGGCTGGAGGAGGGGGGGGGTTGGTGGAGTCCCTCCRCAAGGTGCTGGGGCTGGGAACAGCCCCTTGGCTCCCTGCCCCCACTTCCTCCGGGAAGCCTCCTCTGGCTACCTCGGCCGACACCGTGTTCTTCTTTTTTCTCAGCTTCTCAGAATCATCAGTTCTAAGAGTCTGGCGTAATTGTCTTATCTCTCCACCGAGTACCAAACACTTTACATGCCTTGTAAAATTTAATTCTGAAAAAGAGTCAGTCTGGTTTGCACACTTGATGGTCTACCCGGCATCTGCTATCTATTTCCCCATCACCCTTTCTCTGAAAAYTCCCATGTATGCCCCACCCTTCTCCACCACCAGCAGCCCCCACTGCCTGTGACCCAGGCCCTATTCCAGGAGTAGATGCTGATTCGTCTAAGCCAATGGTCCTCAGAGTGTGGGCCCTGGGCCAGCAGCAGAAGTATCACCTGTGGATTTTTTAGAAATGCAAATTATTAAGTCCCCCCCCCCCCATGAGATCTATAAAGCAGACTCTCTGGACTTGTGGCTGAGAATTTGCATTTCCGTAACCCTTCCAGATGATTTTAATGCACACCAAAGTTTGCATTACTGACTCAGCAGCTACCATGACTCATGTTGGCACAAGATAGAACAGATAACTTGTATCTTATCATCTCACTTCTAGATGTGGTGTGTGTGTGTGTGTGTGTGTGTGTGTGTGTGTGTGTGTGTATCTCCGCTGGATTTGGGGACCCTTTCACTCCAATTGCACTGGCACTGTTCTCTTAACCAGGGGAAGACCCAGCCTTGGGATAAAAGTCAATGTCAAGAGTGTCACTGCATCAATACCTCGAGTCAAGGACCCTCTTCTGCCCCTGGAAGCAGCCTTACCCCTGGACACTGTATCACATAAAAGCAATTTCTCTCCACTGGTTAAGCCCTCATGAGTTCCAACCTGAGTGGAGGGTAATTTGGTTCCTTGCAGCAAAGCCTCCTGGTACAGGAAGGTGTCATGACTCTTGTTTGGCCAATGAAGCTCAGAGAGGTTTTGGACTCTAAAAGCCAAGTTGAATCACCCTGCAGTACCATCTTCCTGCCCTCCCAGCGTCTAGCACTGATTTCTGCATATGTTCAGTGCGTAAGTATTTACTCATTAATTCAATGAGTCGCATCAAAGTCCTTTTGGAAGAAAGTGTGATGTGGCAGGTTGGGATGGCTCTGGCTGGGCCCCTGACCTCTGCAGCTGCTCAGGGCTTCCTGAGCAAGAGCCCCAGGCTAAGGGCACTGCAGGAGGGCAGGGTTCCCACTCACCTCTTCCCCATCCCACCAGGGGGCTGCAGGGTGGCCCTGGGGCCTGCTGATGCTTGATTCATCATTGCATTTTGGACCTCGGTTCTCTTTGCCTCTGCCATCTCCCTCCTGGYGAGGCAGGGAGGGAGGGCATCTGCACCCTGGCACCTGGCCCTGTGCCTGGAGCAGAGGAGGCTCTTCACAAGTTCACACTCCCTGTTCCTTCCTGTGTAAGTCAGGAGCTTTCACATGTCCGTGGAGAGACTTTGCAATTTTTTCTGTCTCTTGYAATAACCAACCCATCACCCCATCGCCACCCATCAGAATCCTGCTTCCCCTTAACGCCTGTTCAAAGGCTGGCTCCCCTGTGAAGCTTCCTAGGTCGTCCACAGAAGCATTTGCTAATGCCTCTGCAGTCTCGCTCCTTTCATTCTGTCGCATAYGACTATCAGTTTTTTATGCCTTTGTTTCCCAAACCAGACTGGTGAGGCACAGGTTTAACGTGCATCAGAACTATTGCAGGACTTTGCTACCATGCAGATTCCAGGGGGGGGCCTGCCTTCAGAGGGTGCAGCCAAAGGGCTGGGGGCAGAAGCCCACCTTTTTAAAAAATAGTTTTGTGGATGCATAATGGTCTTTCAATAATTGCATATATTTAAAGCATAGAATTTGATAAGTTTGGAATTATGTTTACCCTGGGAGGCCATCACCATAATCAGAAGTAGAAATATATTGATCACCTTGTGCCCACTTAGCCTCGCATCTTTCCACAGTTGACCTCTGATCTGCCTTCTGTCACTGCAGGTTAGTTTGCATTTTCTAGAATTCTATATAAATGAGTTATATAGCATGTACTCTTTTTTTTTCGGGGGGGGCAGTTACTGGGGATTGAACTCAGGGGCACTCGACCACTGAGCCACATCCCCAGCCCTATTTTGTATTTGATTTARAGACAGGGTCTCACTGAGTTGCTTAGCACCTCGCTTTTGCTGAGGCTGGCTTTGAACTCGCGATCCTCCTGCCTCGGCCTCCCGAACCGCTGGGATTACAGGTGTGCACCACCGCACCCGACTACAGCATCTACTCTTGCCTAGCTTTTTTTCACTCAGGATAATCACTTTGAGATTCATCCACACTGTCGTGGACATCACCTCTTGTTAATGGATTCTTTCTCATTTCTTTTAATTTCAATTAATTTCTAAGGAGTAATCCACTGTGTGGGTGTGGCACAATTTCAGACACCCACACATTTAGCACGCGTGCCCCAGGTGACTCTGGTGCAGGAGGCCTGTGAACCTCCTTTGAAGAGCACTCATCTAGACGTGGAGCAGGGCCTCTGTCCCCAGTGCAGTCCTTCCCCGCCCTCCAGCTACCAAAGCCTCCAGAGTAAATGGCATAACAGATGCCGAGTGATTAGTGGTCAGTAGTAATAGCTAATGTGACTGAATACACTCAYTCCATGTCAGGCATGGTTCTAAGCACTAAGCCCACTGAATCCCTATGAGATATGTTGGAATATGATCATTTTATAGATGAAGAAACTGAGGTACAAAGAAGGTACTTAATTAAGTTGCTATGATTAGGCAGCCGGCATGTGAGGGGTCTAGTGTTCTAATGCCAGAGTTCATCATCACTTCACCCTACGAGTGGGTGAATAGATAGAGCCATCCATGGGCGGAAGGAGAGGGGATAAGGAGTAGGTGGCTGGCTGGAGGAGTGGGTGAATGCATAGATGGAGGAGTGCAGGTGAGTACGGGTGGGTGGACGGATGATGGAGAGCTAGATGGACCCTCTAGTGAGGACCTAGACACTGCTGGCCATCATCCAGGGCTGGAGGGCATTAGGACGATGCTCAGACCTTAGACAAGTGAGGGGGGCCTTTACACATAGCATGAGGGATCTGGTCCCTCTCTGCCACACCCAGAGCAATTAGGGCATTGGAGATCAAGGCCATTCAAGGAGGCCAAGGGTAGCCTGGCTTGAYCTCAGTTCTCCCCTCCATTTYACTTTGGGATGACCCCGTACAYGGCCATCCATGCAGCTTTGCCACCCATCCTTTAGAACAGACGTTGGGTGTGGCCAGGGGATTTACATCAGTGAAATATTCTCAGACATGATGTAAACGGAAGCTTTCCATGTCYTTGTGTGGTGGGATTTGGCCTCTTGCACCCTGTCATCTGCCATGAGTAGCCACTGACCCCAGAAGAACGAGTGACATACAGAGTCTACCTGACCCCCAACTGCACCTGGAAACCTAGACACCCAGGACACCCACAGAGCTGAGGGTGCCAGCTACGGATGTGCGTGTGGTGACACAAGGCAAAGACAGGTCATCCTGGGTCCTCAGTAAAGGATGGGGACACAAGAATAAAGGAAAGGGGCAGAGGACAGAGGGCAAGAGGGACTAGACCCTGCTCCTACACTCACCGGTCCTTGAAGAAGAAGATCTCACCACGGATCTGAGCGATGCCATCAAAGACAATGTCCTGTTTGCAGATCTCAGGAGTGACAGGTCCCAGTGTCGGGGTGGGGCCGGTRCCAGTGTCAATGTCAGTGTCAGGGGAGACCCCTAGGGGTGGGAGGGACACCTGGATTTAGATTCTCCCCAGCTCCAAGGGCTGTCCCCAACAGGCTGGACCCTAAGGCTGCCCACGCATCTGGCTAAGGCTCAGAAAGAAATGTCCTCTRGTCTAGTGTTGGCCCAGGACTGAGAGGGGAGTGGAAAGAAACAAAGCTCACACACACCGTCAGTGCTCTCCGTTCACGTCACCTGAGTGGGTTCTCGCTGTGTCCCCAGGTGGGGGTCGTCCCTATTCCCAGTTCACAGATGGGGGAACAGGGGCCCAGGAAGGTAGAGACACGGGGCCGGAATTCAAACCTAAGGCTCAGGTTCTTAGGCCACCAAGAGTCAGGGCAGTCGGGGACTGCTGGGGTGTCCAGCAGCAGGGGTGTGGCCACTTCCTCMAGGGCAATGCCTTTACTCTCATGATAAGCAGCCACATTGGAGGACACTGAGTCCAGAGCGGTAAAGACTTGCTAGATCTCCTGCAGCTGGTCAATGACAGAGGCAGCTCGGGACCCTGCACCTCTGGGTCCAGATCTTGGGTTCTTTTCCAATTGGATGTTCCCCAGGCTTTTCCCCAAGCACCACTGCACAATTATGGCCTGGTCCAAATTTTATATACATATACATACATATTTATATATCTATATCCATATATATATATATATATATTTTTTTTTTTCCTCCCCAGTACCGGTGATTAAACTCAGGAGTGCTTAGCCACTGAGCCACATCCCCAGCCCCTTTTTATATTTTATTTAGAGACAGGGTCTCACTGAGTTGCTTATCGCCTCACTAAGTTGCTGAGGCTGGCTTTGAACTCAAGATCCTCCTGCCCCAGCCTCCCCAGACGCTGGGATTCCAGGTGTGCACCAAGGTCCACTATATTTTTAATTTCTTTTTGTAAAGAAATGCAGTGACTTTTTAAACTCTAGTTAAATTTACTGGGAGCAGATAATTAAAAATGAATCATTGATATCAGGGACTTGTGGTTATACTCCTATTAAATGAAATCATATTAAGAAGACTAGAAACTTCCACTCCTCTCTCATGAAGGTCTCTCCACACAACGGGAAACTCCAACTTGTGGCCAACCAACTCTCCTGGATTCTAACCCCCCTCCCCCGCCGCCCCCCGGGTTGCTTAAACCCGGGTGACCTGGGGCCTGAAAGTCTACCATTCTCAGGTCACAGTTTACTCAGAACACGGAAAGCCCTAGAAATAGGGAGTCGGAGGCGTCATGGGGAAGCACTGCTCTGACACTCCCAGGACCAGGTCCCCACCACTCGCGCCTCCAGCCCTTGTCCCCAACAGTCCTGGCCAGATGGGCCCTCCTGCTTCTCACACCCTAGGCCCCCTCCCAGATCACATGACTCCCCAGGTCCCCCCCAATCCCCCAAGCTGAGGGTTACCGTAGAGTTCCTGAATGCCCTTGATGTCGTCCTGCGACAGGCGGAAGTTCTTGGTGTAGGTGTAAATGGGGGCCATCAGGGCCCCAGGGTCCTGGGAGTGCTCCAGCCCCATGGCGTGGCCGAACTCGTGAGCTGCCACGAGGAACAGGCTGTACCCTGAGCGCCAAGGCAGGGAGAGAGGGACAAATGAGGAAAGGTGAGACTCCAGGGAGACCCGGCCCAGCCAGGGGGACTGGGGCGGACATCCTCAGGGCGGGGCGGAGAGCCCTGGAAGCTGCACTACTGACTTCTCGTGTCCTCAGAAGGCCTCTTGCTTTTCAGTAGGGTCAGCCAAAGTCCCCATGGCCACTCCAGAGGGGGCTGCAGTGTCCTACAGAAGGGAAGCTTGAAGCACCTGCAAATCCCCTTTGTTAAAGTTCAAAGTCCCATGTGTTAAAAATTGTGCTTCCTGTCTCTTTGTGTCTCTTGAAAGAGGAGGAACAAAACCKGCTCCTAAACTAGGGTCTCCAGAGAGGTAGGAGAGGGGGGCTGCCRGGCCAGCCCGGGGCTCTCCTGCCCCAGGGAGAGCAGTGAGCGCCATTTCCACTTGGCCAGGCTCAGCAGACACGCCCCAGGGTGGGTTCACTGATGCTCCCCCCCCAAAAAAAGACATGTTCAGGTCTTAACCCTGGGAACCTGTGAAAGTGACCTKWTTTAGAAATRRGGTCTTTGCAAATMAGGTCACACAATATTAAGGTGACCAGACACCGGAGTGGAGTGGCCCTTGATGCAGTAGGGCCCACACCATGACAAGAAGAGAGACGAGACGGCACGGAGCAGAGGGGAGAAGGCCACGTGATGAGGGAGCAGAGAGTGGAGGGGGCAGCCTTGGGGGACATGGCCCTACGGGCACCCTGGGTTTAGACTTCTAGCCTTCCAGAAGCATGAAAAAATCCACTTAGGTGGGTCGAAGTAGTATAGCCACTTTGTTATGGCAGCCCAAGGAAACAAATTCAAAGTCACAGTCCAGGCAATGGAGAGGCCCACCCTCAGGTGCACAGCGGGTGAATCAGGCATGTCCACAGGCTGGTTTGGGCCAGCCTGTGGCCCTCCCCAAGCTCCCTCAGACATGCTGACTGAACCCAGCCGGCCCTGGGCCAGCCCTCTCACTGGTCATCGTAGGCCCTGCAGCCTAGAGTGGACACAGGGCCCAAGCATACTGTTCCTCGGGGAGGCCCTGGGCTGTTCCTGGTCACTCTCTCACCCCTGCCTGAGGCCTGGAGGGTGRGGTTATCCCAGCTGGCTGTGTCCCCAGCACAGACGGGGACCACCATTCACAACTGGCAGAGGACAGTTGATGGGTCAGGATGGTCTGGCGGCTCAGGGAGGGACTCCTTTTCCCTGCGGTCTGCTGCCCGCCCAGCCCCTGAGGCCTCTCCTGTCAGAGTGGGGATATGTCCAGGGAGAATCGCCCTCTGGACTCCACATGCTGCGGCAGCCTCAGCCCTGGAGGTGTGGCCGAGGTGGCAGGCGAGGTCTGGAACCGAGGCCAGCTGGCGAGGGAGGGAGGGGGCGAGGGGCCCGGCCTGGGGGCTGCGTCTGCCCACCTGGGTGAGGGGCTGGGCAGGGTCTCTGCTCTAGGTGCAGGCCTGGGGTCTGTGTCCCTTACGGGGGCAGGTGGGTGTCTGGGGGCAGTGTCGATGCTGAGGTGTGCAGGGAATGTCCRTCTGCCCAGTGAAGGGCCTCCTACCTTGGTCGGGGCAGAAGCCCCACTTGCGGTCGTCGTCGTAGTTGGCCGAGGTGGCACACCACATCTTTCCGTCACTGCGGCCGGCGCTGGTGCAGCTCTCGTGCTTGTTGCCCAGGAAGGTGAAGGGGAAGACACAGGGGGCCCCTTCGGAATTCCCTCCAACAGTGGACATGGCTGTGGGCAAGGTGCAGGGTCCAGGTCACCAGGAGAGGACGGCATGATGCCCATGTCCACAGACCACGCCGAGACACCCCAGGCGCGGCAGCCAGCGCTCCCCCATCCCCCCACCAATCACCCTCTGCTGGGGAACACGTGCTGCCCCCAGGGGACCCAGGCCCGGGGAAGCTGAAACTTGGAGAGATTGAGAGCTTGGCCAGGGCAGGTCCTGCTAGGAAGYGGCCCAGGCTCCACCCCGGCTGCCAGATCCCGGAGCTGGCATGAGCTTCCTGGGGCTGTGAWCCCAGGGGCAAGACACCAGGAGGCGGGGCAGGGCTCAGGGTCCCAACACACTCAACTGGAGAGCGACCCGCAGAGTCCCACTGGGGAGGAGGGCAGGATGGAGGGGGKTGCTCCGTGGGACAGAGAGACTGAGGGGAAGCAGGCCAGGAGGGGCCGGGCGGACAGAGGCMGAAAGAAACACCCAACGTGACCGCTGGTGTCACCGATTTGGCTGAACTGTGGTGACATTTGGGTGACACCAATTCTGCTGGACTGCGTGAAGGCCTCACGTGGGCTCTGACTTCTGCCTCAGAGCCACCAAGGAGGTGGGAGTGGTCAGGCGGGCTTCTGAGAGACAGCAGGGTGCTGGGCCCTGTGGGCAGGGGAGGCRGGGACACCCACCCGTCTCAGGGCAGAAGCCATACTTCTTGTCGCGGTCGTAGTCCTCGGTGGTGCCACACCAGCGGTAGCCGTCCGTGCGGCCCTCGGTGGTGCAGCTGTTGTAGGAGGTGCCCTGGAAGCGGAAGGGGAACTTGCAGGGCTGTCCGTCGGCGTTGCCACCCATGGTGAACAGGGCTGCGAGTGGGGGAGAGAGGGTGACTGAGAGAGAGTCCCCTGCCCGGGCACTCGCCGGCTGGCTGCCACCTGCCAGGTCACACCAGCGAAGTCGCTGTGTGGTTAAAATTCAAACATCTCCTCTGCTGACTGGTAAGGAGCCGCTTCTCCAAGCTCCTGGAGAGGCCCCCTGGCCCCCTGGTCCCCCTCGTCCCTGCCCTGGGACCTTGTGGACACCAGCCAGGAAACACATGGCACTYAGCAGGGCCTCCAGAACCCTTCCCCAGTCCTGAGTCACCATCCATTCTGCCTGGTCAACACCCACTCCAGGTGGACTGCTAAATATGCCACCCATAGAGGGCACGTCCCCATGAGTCTCTCCATCGGACAGACAGGGACACTGAGGCTCAGAGAACACTGGGTTCCAGAAGTGTTCCTGGTCACAGGAATCAGGACACGGATGGAGAYTGACGACTCCCAGCACACTCATCTCCACTCCTCTCACACACCGTCACAGGCAGGGGTGACCCTATGTGGCTTCAACTCCTGTCAATCAGAGGCCCTCTCCTGGACAGTCCCTCTGTGGTCCCTGCAGGAGGGAGAGGAGGGTCAGGAGGAGGAGGCTCTGCCCTTGGGAACTTTTCAATACACCCTCCAGGCTCCCGCTCTGGCCTCCCCGGGGCAGCCCTGCTGGAGAGCTGGGGAAGAAGGTGGGATCCAGGATGTGGCCTCTCTCTCTCTCTCTCTCTCTCTCTCTTAGGTTCTTCTCCTGCTCCCCCGTCCCCTCCTCTGTCCCAAAGCTACGAAATGGTGTGTCTCTGGAATTGCCAACTAGCAAAACCACAAGTGCGTAACAAGGACCATCTGTGCACCACGGCGCCAGCGGTGACCTCACCAGGCCCAGTTAACTCCAGCATGGCCAGGAAGGAGCCAGGCCTCCTCCCACCACGGGACCCAGGACCCTGTCCTCTCTGTTCCACTGTCCCCTGAACAGGAGACACTGTCCCATCATGCTAGAAACCATGGCACCTCAGGAAGAGAAACAGAGTCCAGAAACTGGGGGCTTCCGATGGGGAAGGGTGAAGTGTTAACTTCAACTAGGTCCAGCCCCGGGCCTCTGCCACCCAGAAAGCCCTTGTCTCTGCTCAGATCCTCCCTCCTGGGTCCAGTCCCCAGTGAGGCGGGCGGGAAGCAGACACTGAGTCAGCAGTCAGGAGGGTCTGAGTAACAGGAACCCCAAACAGGCACGTGGCGCAGGCCCACACCTGGCCACAGACCWAGTCGACGGCTCGTGTCCAAGGCAGGGGAAACCCTCCCCAAATTATGAAATACAGCGGCTTCGCCTCCTCTTCTTGGGGACCCCCTGTTCCAATTAGAACAGCTGACTCAGGGAAGGTTAGTGTCACCTGCATGTCCCCCCAGGAAATAYAAGATACAGAAAATGTCTTCTTTAACAGTTTCTGGCTTGTTATGGTCGATGGCTTGAGCGCTTACTTAAYGCAGAGTTTAGCTTTGGTAATAAAGTGTAAACAGGAAGACAACTCGCCAGCTGTTTGCTTCTTCTGTCAAGATGGACGCTGTCCAGTGCAAGTCACAATGGGGACAGAGACACTCCTGGACATGTACAATGATAGCCCCAAATGATAAAGACACTTTATAGGAACTGAAGATACTTTATCAGATGGAGAAGAAGGTAGCATTTAGACCCCCCATTTTCAGATTTTTCTCCCATTTTCCCCAAATCTTCTGGGCTTTTGATCACGAGAATCATGGAGCATGCTGACTCCATCCAATATGGAAGACTATAGACTTTTTTTTTTTATATAATTTATGATTGTAAGGTGTGTCAAGGATGGTTTTAGAAAGGATTGAGTCAATATCATTAACCTTTTTTTGATCCCACTCCTTCTTCAAAGATCTCTGAAAATGTTATTTCAAATGCTGACAAAAACACACCCAGAAATATCAAGTTCAGCTTGATGTCTTCGTCAAAACAGAGATAGAGGATGGACAACCCAGATGAACAGAAGGACAGAGTCCACAAGAACCAGACAGCGGACTGCTAGCCTGCATGCACACACACACACACACACACACACACCCCGCAGCTCTGTCAGCGGGACCTGTGCAGGAACAGTGGTCGATAGTCCCAGGGTTACAGTCCCCAGCCACGTCAGGTTCCAGCTTGGTCAGAGACCTGCCTCCCATCCAACAGCGAGACTCTCTACCCGGCCCCAAGCCTCTTTCCACCCTTGGAGCCCTCAGCCCTGACTGGCCACGATAGTAGTTCTAACTTTGTTCTGGCGTATGTTAGAAAGAATCATCGACACACTAAACCAGCCACTTCACAAACAGTCATGCTAACCGTGGCCTTGAAACCCCTGCACTGACTGAACCAAACTGGGAAGGAAACCCAGTCTCAGGCCACCTAACGTCTCAGCCGACCACAGATCCCATACACGACAGTGGTCCATGGGGCCACAGCTCCTAGTGACATCGTCGCCATCGTAGCACAGGGAGGTACAGCTTACGATGTCACACAACAGTGGAATCGCCCAACAATGCACCTCATCACGGGACACCAGGCTATGATGAGAGAGACACAGCCATGGCTCAAGACGGGACGGCCCGGGCTGGGGTCCCGGGGGACCCTGGTTGACGGGCCTGTGGCGTTTGGAGATGGGGCCGTAGCAGGGAGCCCCCCAGGCTGGGGCCTGCGGTGGAGGGCGGGCTGCTCACCTTCRTGGGGGCAGAAGCCGTACTTGCCGTCCTTCTCGAAGTTGTAGGTGGTGGAGCACCAGAGGAAGCCGTCGCTGCGGCCCGCGTCCGTGCAGCTGGTGTACTCGCGGCCGTTGAAGAGGAAGGGGAACTTGCAGTACTCGCCGTCGGCGTTCCCGTACTTGACGCGGACCACTGGGGGTGACACGGGGCAGGGTGGGGGGTTCGACCTCCTGGACTTTCTTTGGACACCAGGCTTCCGAGTCCCTAGGGCTGTGACTTCCCTTCCCTTCCATCCGCCTGGTCCCACGGAAGCAGAGGGGAAGYCCCAGGTGGCCAGGGAAGCCATGGTCCTGTTGCCAGGTGACAGGAAGCTGCGGGGGACTGGCGAGGAGGCCTGGGGCAGGCSGAGGGCCACCATCTTACCTTGCCCTTCTCCCAGGGTCCACAGCTCGTCGTCGTCAAAGTGGGAGTCTCCCCCGACCCCCGTGCCCGGGGCGAAGGCGTGAGCCAGGAGCCCGTCCTTGCCGTCGAAGGGGTAGCCATCGCCATGCTCTGGAACACACGGGCCTCAGCTTCTGCTTGCCCCGTGGACCCGGGGGCCGTCCCTACCCACGTCGGCACTCCTGCACCATCTGCCATCTGTCCCCAGCCCCTGACCCACTRGGGTGACCCAAGGATGGTGAACACAGGGCGTGAACGGAGAGTCTGTGACCTCACTCTCACCGTCCTCCGGGCCACACGACCCCCTTCTGGGCACCGCCTGCCTTCGCTGACTGTGCCAACCCAAGGCCACCGCACCCACCACAGGCCTATAAAGCCACACCCATGTCCTCGCCACTGACTCTTGCTGTCCCCAGGGTCTACCCTCCTGTCCACACTGCCCTCTTCACGGTGTCCCTTCCTTCATGTCACATTGTCACCCACATTCACTGCACTCACCCCCGGGCCTGCCTTGCTACTGAGGTCTAGCCCTCCTAGCACGTCTACACTGACTTTGTGCCTGTCCCCTGGCCCCATTGCCGCACCGCCCACCTTCACGTCTATGTGCCGCCAGTGCCCACACCACCAGCCCGGCGGTGGCCTTGACCCCAGCTTCCAGCTGCTGACTCCCATGTCTACACTGCTCCAGTGTCTGACCTACTCTCCTATCCACAGCTCCTTACAGGGCCAACCGCCAGGATAGCCACTAGCCTCATGGGGACCTTGAACTCTTGAAATGGGACCTGTGTGGCCAAGAAACTGAATTGTCATAAAAAAAAAAAAATGTCTTTAGTCATTTCAATTTAAATAGCCATGCGCACTCAGAGCTGCCCTTTGCTCAACAGAGCAGCCACTCAGGGCTTCCCCGGCTCCAGCACGTCCGTCCCCTGCGCTCCCGGCCACGGGGCTCTGGTGTCTGCCTGTGCTGTCCTGCACCTGCTAGACCACCCCCATGTCTATACCCGCTACTGCGACCTGAGTCACCCAGGATCCAGGGTTTCTCTGACGTCCATGCAGCCCCCTTGTCTCTACCCACCCCCCAGCCCCCGCCAGCCCCTCTTCTGCCTACCCCAGCGGCCGAAGTTGATCATGATGTCAGCCTCTCCATCATGGATGCGAGAAAACCGGAGCGGGGTCACGGAGCTCCAGACCTGGAAGGCGCGTGCAAAGGCATCGTCCACCGTCTCCGGGTCCAGATCAGGAGTGTAGCCAATGATCCTGGAGGGGTGGACGGGCAGGTGAGCACGCAGGCGTGTGTGCGAGGGTGTGCGTGTGTGAAGTGTGCTTGTGTGCGAGGGTGTGTGTATGTGAAGTGTGCTCGTGGGCAGGTGTGTGTGTCCGTGAGCATGCAAGTGCATGCATGACCATAGAGGCTTCCCTCTGAGCTGTGTGATCTTAGGCAAGTTTTCTAACTTCTCTGTGCTTTATTCCTTTCCTTTGGGATGAAGGGATCTGGCACCAGAGCCCACACAGGAACACAGCCTTGCTACCCCAGAGCCCCTCCAATAAGAGTAACAACTAATACCTATTACACTCTTGCCACACRTCAGACTCTGGAAGACCTTTATTTATACTCCATCTAGCTTAGTCCCACAATTAACCCTATGAGGAAGAATTTTTAATGCCCCATTTTATGGAGTAGAAAACCAACATTTGGAGCCTCCAAAATTAAGAAGACCAKCCTGGTGCAGTGGTGCACGCCTGTAATCCCAGTGGCTCGGGAGGCTGAGGCAGGAGGATGGTGAGTTCAAAGCCAGCCTCAGCAAAAGCAAGGCACTAAGCAACGCAGTGAGACCCTGTCTCTAAATACAGTACAAAATAGGGCTGGGGATGTGGCTCAGTGGTCGAGTGCTCCTGAGGTCAATCCCTGTTACTCCCCCCCCCMAAAAAAAAAGCCCAACACCCCCTGGTTAGTGAGTGTGTGATCTGGGTCCAGGTCTGTCTGACTCCATTTACCAAGAGCCTTGCATGCAATCCCCCTGAGATGGTCAGCCCTGACTAAAGAGACCTCGTGGGTCCCCTGAGCGGAGAAAGCCAGGCCCAAGGACACCCTGTGTCCCCCAGCCCCTGCCCTGGCACCTGTAGGTGATCTGGTTCTTGTCCCACTTGGGCTTTCGGGGGAAGAAGTTGTAGTTGGCCACGTCGGGGTTGCCACAGCGCGGCTTCCGCATGGTCTCGATGGTGCTCTGGTCCAGCTCGCCTGTCTGGGGCAGCCCGAAGAACTTCTGCATCTTCTTCAGGGTGTCTTTCAGCACAAACAGGTTGCAAYTCTCCTTAGGGCAGCCGTAGAAGGTGTTCAGGTATTGCTGGAGGAAATGAAGAGTCAGGGGAGAAGAAGCCACCGTCAGGTAGGTATCACTGACCAAATCAGGCTCCAGGGACCCGCCTCCAGYGCTGAACCAGAGCTGTCACTCACTTGCTGAGTGACATAACAGCGGTAGAAAGCACAGCCCCACTACTGTGCAGGGAGCTTCTATGTGCTCTAGCACTGAAGTCATTAAACATCGACACATTCAATGCTCACAGGAATTGCAGATATTATTATCCTCAGCATAAAGAGGGAAAAAATAAAGCACAGAGGAGAAAGTTGCCTGCAATCACACAGCTCAAAAATGGCAGATCTGGATTCAGGACCAAGCCATCTGACTCCAGAGCTCACAGTGGAGCAAAACCTTCCAGCACCTGTCCTTTACCCCTGTCATCTCAGCTAGCCACCTACAGCTGGTGACTTAGGGATTGTTCTCCTCCCTTTTCTTCACCAAGAGCTTCAAGGCTTATGAGTTTGAGCTCCAGCAGCAGACAGAACCTGGGTTCAAATCCTGGATCTGACATTTTCAAAAACAAAGTGGTCCTCTTCTTCAGTGGCTCTTGCCAAAGGAAACCCCAAACCAAGCAGGCCCCTGTAGAGGTTCAGGGACCAGCCGATTCATTTATCAAATGAATGCATGAGGGTGTCTATCATTTGCCACTCCTCAACTGCTGCTGGGGACAAGCCGATAAACAAGACAGGCATTTCTGGTCTCTAAAGTTCAAATCCCAGTGCAAGGTAGGGGAGGTGGGCTGATGGATCACACACAGATAAATGTGAAATTGGGTAAGTGCTAAGGGCCATGTTGGAGAGGTGAAAGGAGCCAGGAGATCTTACAACATGRCCCTAACCTCATTGTGAGTAGTCAGGAAAGGAGTAAAGAGAGTCTAACAACAATCACCGTAGGAGAGCAGCAAGGGTTACTGCTTACTGAGTGTTCACCAAGTGCCAGGTACCCTTGGAAGTGTCTACAGTAAGTGTCTACACCATGACTTCTCTTTTCACCCCGAGATGGGTACCATTATTACCCTTGGTTTGCAGGTGAAGAAACTGAGACTCTAGAAGTTAAATCAGCTGCTTRAGATTATCAGGCTATCCTGGTCCAGAGGTGCACGCCTGTAATCCCAGGCGCTGGGCAGGCTGAGGCAGGATCTCCAATTCAAAGCCAGCCTCAGCAAAAGGGAGGCACTAAGCAACTCAGTGAGACCCTGTCTCTAAATAAAACACAAAACAGGGCTGGGGATGGGGCTCAGTGGTCGAGYGCCCCTGAGTTCAATTCCCAGTACCCCCCCCCCAAAAAAAGAAAAAAATGATTATCAGGGCATTTGGTTAATGTACTCCTTGACTTGAGGCCAGGGAGGCTAAGCCCAGAGCCCCTCTTCTTAAGCACTGCTCTGGGCAATCCAGACGTCTACTTGACGTGGAAGGTGTGAACTCAGAGACCACTGTCATGGTCCACAGTCCCACTCAGGCTAACCAATGGGGACAACACTATGCCAACCTGAAAAAAGTAGACTTCTAAACATTTAAGATCTCCCGCTGCACCCATCCAGGGGACAGAAGGTGTGTGTGTGTGGGGGGGGGTCAGGGGTGGAGTCACATCCTRAAGGTGCTTGGAGTGGGCAGAGGGCATTGGATTCCTGTTCTGCACAGATTGGGGCAGGGGCTGGCTGGAGGGTAAGGGATTTCGAGGGTGACAGAAGCAACGGGGAGACAGATGTCCRGTGGTCCCTGAGTGGGCCACGGCCCGCGGTGCTTTCAGGGCGAAGGGAGATGCTTTCTGCTGCCTGGCCCAGGGCTTATGCAACGCTGAGGCCAGGATGCTCCGGGAGCCAAGAGCGCGCGCTCGCAAAACAACATCTGAGCCGCAGCTCGGGAGCTCCTCCAGGAGGGAGGCTCCTGGCCGCTCTCCGACCCCGGCAGGGCTCAGTCCGCCCCCGCCCCACGCGCCGGGCTCACCCGCGCCTGCCACTCCCTCCCCCCACCCCGCCCGCCCGGGCCGCCTGGTCCTCGCCTGGTCCTCGCCATCGGTCTCCTGACCCCTGGAGAAGTTCGAGGAAACTTTCCGTAGCTCACCCCTTGACCTTTCTGGCCAACTTGCCCAGTAAACCAGGCGAAAAAAGACGTGCCCGGTTTCCCTCCTGCCCCAGTTATGTGCCTAGGGGTCCCCTGGAGCCGAGCGGAGACCAAAGATCCCCCTCCAGAAGTGTGCCCAAGTTCCCAGGAGTTTGCGAAGCCCCACTCTGGTCATCCTCCTGTGTGCAAAAGTTCACGCAAATGATCCGCCAAAGCACCACCTTTCCAAAGTCCCCTGATTGCAAAAGGGACCTCTTAGGCTGTTTGCCAAAGGCCTACCAAGATGCTTGCCAAGGTTCTGATGCYGGCTCTCCAGAAGTGTCCAAGGGTGGTGTGGGAGGCCTGCCCCTACCCGCCCCCCAGACACCCAAGCACTCCTTATTTGCAAAAAGAGTCCTTTCCAAACCTTTGTCAAAGCACCCACCCGTCTCCCCCTGTCCCTCCGCCTGGAAGTTGTCCTTACTGCCCCCCCACGCCCCCATGTGTCCTGAAGGTTGCCAAGTTGCTGCTCGGGGCGTGTCCACTCACAAAGCTCCGCACTGTTTACAAAGCCCAGCCCTCCCTCAGCTCGCCCAGGACCCCCGAGCTGCTTCTGGGACCCTCCCCCGCGCCCCTGACCCCCCACGGGGGAACCCCATCCTCTGCTTCCGAAGTTGGTCTAAACTTGGCTCCTGAGGCCAACGCGGCGACTCACCACCGCCAACTCTTTGTCCGTCTTGGGGGCGACATCGCCGGGGAACTTGATGATGGGGGACGGCGCGGCGGCGGCGCGGCCCAGCAGGCAGCCCAGGAGGCAGAGCGCCCGCAGCGGGCGGGCGAGCGCGACCCAGGCCCCTCGCGCCGGCATCCTTCAGCTCCCGGGCCCCACGCGTCGCCCGGGGGTCGCTGGCTCGGTGCGTGTGGCCGCGTCGCCGCGGGGCTGGAGCTCGCAGCTGCAGCGCAGTCCCGCGTGCAGGGGGCTCGCTGGCTGGGTCGCCTGGGCGTCGCGTGGCTCAGCCTCTCATGGTCCGGTGCCCGCGCCCTCAGCCCGCGCCGCGGCCCCTGGTCTCGCAGGTCCCGGTGGCCTCCCTTTTGTATGCTTAAAGCCCCAGAGGCCCGGCCTCCAGCCGCCGCCGGAGGGAAGTCTGGATTGCAGCGGAAACAAGGGAGGGCAGCGGCCAGATGTGGCCGGCTGGGCTGGGAGGGCTCTGGCGGCGCGGCTGGGGGAGGGGGCGCGCCGGGCCCGCCCCTCCGCCCCGCCCCCACTCCCTGGGCTTTTCTCTTTTTTTCCAGCCTCCTGTTACCCCAGGTCTAGGACTTGGCTACCAGGGCGACCTCCCCACCGGACAGCTCCAGAGCACAGCTGAGGACCCCCTGCCCATAAACATCTGGCGGGATGGCTCGGGGCCCTCGGTGTCCTGAGGTTGAAGGGCAACAAGGCTGGGGAGGACTGGAGGGAGGCCCGGCGGTCAGGACACCCTGCAGGCCCCTGCGGGCAGGGATGAGATGGAGCGGTCAGATGACCAGGGGCATTGAATGATGAGCAGATGTTTAGAGATTTCAGATGTTTAGAGAGGGAGGCCGAGGTGAGAGGGAAAGAGAGGGGATTCAGGTGGGAGGTCCCAGCTAGTCTCCTTCTCTCTCTCCCTCCCTGGCTCCCCCGCCCCCATTTTTCAGCCCCCCAACAGGTAAGTGCTGGCTTGGCCTCAGTCCTAGTGGTAGAGGCTACATAGACCTAGAGGAGCCAACACCCACAGTCTCCCAACATAGGTCCTCTCCCTCTCTCAGAGAAAGACAATTCAGTAGGTGACAACTGTGTGGRAACTCCAGCAGGCTGGGGTGTGCCTGACCTCAGCCCCTAAACTAGTTAAGACAGTCAGGGAAGGCTTCCTGGAGGAAGCAGCCCCTGAGCTGGCACCTGCATTGCTAAGGGGTGGGGGTGCTGTGTGGGACCGGGGGAGGTGTCTTYAGCAAGAGGTACAGAGAAGGACCTTCCCTCTATCTGAAGGGAGAGGAGATCTGGCTGGAACCCTTCAACCAGGACCAGACTGGGAAGAAGGGGGTGGCACTGGGGTCAGTCAGCAGGGACCAGTTGGAGGTCACCGGATGGAAGGGGGAGGGGGCTCTGCCATGAAGAGCGTGTTCTGGRACAGCCTCTGCAGCTTGGGTCTCAGGGGGCTTCCAACAAGCACAGGCTTGCCCGGCAGGCAGGGCTGCTGGCTGGCCAGAGTCCACCTTCAGGAGCCTCTGGGGAGGGACCTGTCCCCACAGGAGGAAGCAGCCAGTGAGCAGCTGGGGTTGTGGGGGACAGCAAGTCTAAGGTCAGCTGGGGAGGGGGATTGCTTCCAGCCCAGCCCCATTTGGCTGGCGTCCATGTCCTGCGGATAGCCCGAGAGCCAAGCGGGAGAGCCTGGTGCAGGCAGGGAAAATGGAAAAAGTTGTCTCACGAACCCAGGGGTTGCAGCCTCGCGGCCTGTGCGCTCAGCCCCAGCTGCATCTGGTTCTCTTTTCCCCCCCCAAAAGACTGGGGATTAAACCCAGGGCTTGGCACATGCCCTCGGCCACTGACCCGCATCCTCAGCCTCCAAATAGTATTTTGAAATTTGGAAGACTTTATGTTAAAAAAAATCAGGATTCCCGTTTTTCTTTTTAAAATGCCCCCCTCCCATCTGGCAATCCTGGGAGCCAGTTTCCACGGGGGAGTCGTCAGCGGCAGCAGAGCCGTGGCCCCCTCTTACAACAAGGTGGGGTCGGGTCTGCCGCAGTCCACACCGCTCTCTGTGGCTCTGCGCGTGACCCACTCCTCAGTTTTGCTCATGGCATTGCTCATGGGTGTGAGGTTCTGAGTGGCCTCTGGAAGTCCTGGAGCAGGTGCTTTGGGGCTCCTCTGGCGGGGACMGCTGGCTTTGACTGTATGGATTCCCTGCCTGGCTGGTGTGGGCATTCCCAGGGCACTGGTGTCCACTGAAGGTGCTTGGTGCCCATTTAGTGCTGCCAGAAGTCCAGAAGCCGCTCGCTGGAGAGAGACCTTGGTGCCCAGCGGAGCAGCAACAGAGCCCAGTGGCCTGGGAGAGCAGGGGCAGGATCAAGCGGTAATGCGTGTGGTATTGGGCGTGGCGCCCACTCCCTGTGGTCCCCTGGGGGTCTCTTCCCATGCCTGGTAACCCTGGGAGCCCCAAGTGGATGCGGCAAGGTCACAAAACKAGAGCAGCCAGATCCACTGCTGAGTTAACATGCGAAAAACAAATCTTACCTGATAAACCTCCGAGCTTGAGGGGTACATTTCCTACAGCCACGTCTTTCAGCCAATCCTAATATAGATGTAGAAGGGGCTGTGTGGCAGGTAGATTGTATCCCAAAGAAAGATAAGGCTCAAGTCCCAGCCAGTGGTGCACACCTGTAATCCCCGTGTCTTGGRAGGCTGAGGCARGAGRATGGCAAATTGGAGGCCAGCCTCAGTAACTTAGCAAGGCCCAGAACAACTTAGCAAGACTCTGTCTCATAATAAAAAAATAAAAAGGGCTGGGGATGTAGCTCTGGTAAAGGGCCCCTGGGTTCAATATATATGTATGCAGTGTGTGTGTGTGTGCACGTCTGTGTGTGTGTGTGTGTGTGTGCACGTCTGTGTGTGTGTGTGTGTGTGTATTCAAGTCTTAACGCCCATGAGTGTGTATCCTCCTAGGAAATAGGATCTTTGTAGATATAATGACATGGAGACCATACTGGATGCCGGATGGCATTACTGCCGTCATGGTGTCTTTATAACAGGGTGGAATTCCAGGCACAGAGACGCACAGGGAGAACCCCATGTGACCCCTGAGATCTGAGCAGTTCTGGTGAAAGACAAAGAGTRCTGAGGACCTCCAGAGGCTGGGAGAGGGAGGGAGGGTCTTCCTAGAGACTTCCCTGGGCTCTGGCCCTGCAGGTCCCTCGGCTTTGAACTTCCAGACGGCAGAACCGTCAGAAAACAAAGGCAGTTGTTCTAAGCCACCTGYGACTCAGGGCTTTGTCACAGCCATCCCAGTCTCCAGTGAGGTTAGGACAGGATGTAGGGATTTCTCCAGCTAAGGCATGACTTTCCCTCCCMGTCCCTCATCCGTCCATCTGGGAATTCCTTAAACAGCACGCCTCTGGGTGCCGAGGTTCAGCAGCGTTAGGATGACGCTGGGGTTTTTTGGGGGGAGAGGGGGTTTCRGGATTGAACTCAGGGGCACTCGACCACTGAGCCCCACCCCCAGCCCTGTTTGGTCTTTTATTTAGAGACAGGGTCTCCCTGAGTGGTTTAGCGCCTCGAGGCTGGCTTTGAACTTGCAATGATCCTCCTGCCTCAGCCTCCCGAGCTGCTGGGATCCCAGGTGGGCGACGGCGCCCAGCCTAGGATGGCGTTTTGCTGCAGAGACAGAGACAGCCCTGCAGGACACTCGCCCCGGACGACAGGGCTCTGGGGAGCGGGTGGCCACCAGCTTTCCGGAGCTGCCCCTTCATTTTCCTTTGGGGGACTTCGTCCCCCCCAACTCCAGGTCTGTGGGGTCCAGCTTCTCTCCTCCTGTCCCCACAGTGCTGTGCCGCCCAGGCCTGGTGATGATCCCGAGCTGGGCTGTGGGTTCACTGGAGCCAGAGGACGTGGGTTCCGGGGCCCTGGCTGGGCTTTGTGGGGGGCCCCTGCACGGGTAGGGTCCAGGCTTCCTGAGGTCGGAGCCACATCCAAGAGGGCAGAGCCAGGTAGTGGAGAGAGAGACAGACAGACAGACAGACGGACAGACACACTCCCGGGCTCCCGCCTGCCCACGGCCAGGAGCAGACCAGCTTGTCACCGTGTGATCCAGTGAGTCCCCTCCTTACAACTTGGGTTTTGTTGTGATTTTGCTTAAGCTGCTTGGATCGAGTTCCTGTCACTTAATCTTGACTGACGCCATGAGAAACGGTAGCTGCGGAGCCGGGTTCTGCCTCCGCGGTGGGCCCCAGGCCGTGGGTGGACCAGGACACGAGGCCCRCAGGAGGGGAGACCCTCCCGGGGCCACTGGGAGCCCCTGCTCCCCGTCCCTGGCCCGGGCCCTGGACTCCAGCCACCAGGAGCACCAAAGGTCACGGCTCAGAGCCTTTCACCGGCTTCGGCTTCCTCAGGATAAAACCTGGAATTGTCCCCAGGAGCAGCAAGACGTCCTCCACCTGCGGGGACCTGTGGCAGCCACCAGGAGGCAGGAGATGGCCGCCAGATAACGTGTAGGGACCTTGGTGACAGAAGGACCACTCCAACGCCCAAGGTGACAGACAGGGATGATGCAAGAACAGGACCAGCAGCACAAGGCTGTCACCACCCCAGGCCTGGAGGGGACAGTCACTGGAACCAGGAAGGAGGGAGAGGAGCACGGAGCAGGGACCCTGGGGGAGGCGGATGGAAAGGTGCCCCCTCCTCCCCCCTCACCTCTCGCTGGTCCCCAGTGGCCGGACCCACCGGAGCCCAGACACAGGACMGCCTGGGCATGTGTCCAGGGCCAGGGCAGGTGGCGGCCCCCTGGGGACAGACAGAAGTGCCCTGCAGGGAGGACCCCAGCCGCCTGTCCAGCACACCCCCCTGCCCCCCTGAGCCTGGCCACGCGGCCCCACTTTGTCCTGAAGGACGGTGGCCCTGGTGACCGCCGTGATGGCAGCTGCTCGGCTGCTCTTTCAACAGTGGCGGGACCTTCAGGTCAGCCTCTGGCTTGCAGCCCTGGACATTCTACCTCCCGTCAGCCCGTAGCCAAGCGCAGCAGGACAGAGAGCTGCCCGGGCCCCCCCAGGTCCCCTCCACCTCTGCATCCACCCACCCAGCGCCCAGTGCTTCCTGGGCCGGCAGAGCGGGCCTTGGGGGTCTCGGCTCACACGCGCCTCCCCAGGGAAGCCCTCCCGGATTCACCTCTTGCCTTGGGGATTCACATCTTGTTTCCTTTCTGGCGGCGACAACTGTCTTACCACAATCTTGCCACCTTCTTCCTTCCTTATTGACTTCGTTGTTGATTGTCCCGGCTGGAAAGTCAGCCGCGTCCCCAGTACCTAAAACAGTCTCACATACAGCAGGTGCTCAATAAATATCCGTGGGCTCCATAAACGGTGGAATAAGTGAATGATTCTCCTCTAAAGGTGGGGAGGTGGGAGGCAGGCCCAGGAACTGCAGGTGGGCACGGCGGGGTAGTTCC